GATACTGCCTCGAAAACCCAAGGAGGGGTCGCTATGAGTTGGGGCCAACTCGATGGCACATAACAACAACAACTCTTCTCTTTAATACAAAGCACTTCCTAAGGTATGAAAGAAAGTCCCTTACACTCTGAGGGCAAGTTGAATTCTGAGAAGAGGTCTTTGTTGTGGATTGTGAGGCAGTATAGCTGACTAAAGTAAATCCCTCATGCAGTGGAAGTGGAGAGATTGCTGTTGACTGCCAGCGCCTGACTCATGGCATCCCCGTACATGATGGAATGAAATGCTGCCTGATCCTCTGTCATTCCTGTGATCGGTTATGGATCAGACTATTGTAATCCATAGGGTTTTCACTGACTGATTTTCGTAAGTAGATTACCAGGCCTTTCTTCCTTGTCTGTCCTGGTCTGAAACTTGTTCAGCATCATAGCAACACTCAGCATGAAGTGCATTGCCCTTCCCGCATGGAAGGTGAGAATTTGACCACTGAACCATTCATGCCCTCTACCCCAGATTACTACCTTGATGGAGTTCCTCTTCTTTACATAACTTCTGCCCTTCCTCTACTTTTGACTTCCTTGAGTCTTTTAAAGACCTTAATAGGTCCCATAACAAAAGTGATAAATTCCCCATTCTGAAATGAACCTTCTCTGGCCTCTCACTAAGAGATCTTAGTGGCTTCCCAGCATCCTCCTGGATGTCTGGAATTGCTCAGCCTCTCTTTGCTCTATGGAATTTATTTGACTTCATTTCCAGCAGCTGCCAATGTCGGTTTGAATGCTTGAAATTACTGAGTGTTTACTGTGCCACTGGGTGGGGATTTTAAACTAAATATAATGTTCTGTCTTGTTTGTGGAGCTACAGAGGACTTTATAAAAGCAGTCAAGTAAAGAAAGCCTCATCAAGTCAGAATTATAGGGCCTGCAGGAACATTCTGAATGAGATTGTATTTATTTTTAAAAACACAGTTAAAAAATCATGAACATAGTTATTGTAACTAGAGCTGAGTTTATGCTAGCCCAGATACACTGAAGAGATAAGAATATTCTGTAATTAACATATTATTGGGAGCTCTGGTGACACAGTGCCTAAGGCATTTGACTGCTAACCAGAAGGCT